GGCGGGGACGTCGCCGCCGTCGTGCCCTGGGACCTCGTCGCGTTCACGGTGCCCGGCGTCGTCCTCGGCGGCCAGATCGCGCCCCGGCTCGCGGGCCGGCTGCCGGACGCGGTCATCGAGGCCGCCGCGGGCGCGCTCTTCGGCGGCGTCGGCGTCGCGTTCGCGGTCAAGGCGGCGGGGTAAGCTTTTACTTCTTGGCCCGGCGCGCCTTGGCGAGGAGCGCCTCGAGGGACACGTCGGCCTTCGCCGCGGCCTTCGGGGCGGCTTTGGGCGCGGCCTTGGGCGCGGCGGCCTTGGGCGCGGCCTTGGGCGCGGCGGCCTTCGGGGCGGCCTTGGGCGCCGGCGACTTGGGCTTCGCCCGCGCCTTGGGCGCCGCCGCGGGCTTCGGCGCGGCCGGCGGCGGGTCGTCGACGTCCATGGGCGCCGCGCGGCGGCGCGGCGTCGCGCGGCGCTTCGGCGGCGGGTCGTCGACGTCCATGGGCGCCGCGCGGCGCGGCGCCCGGGCCTTGGGCGCGGGCTTGCGCGCCTTCGCGCCCGTCGCCAGCCTTTCGAGGTGCGCGCGGAGTTTCGCGTAGTCCGGCGCGTCGGCGTGGCCCAGCGCGCGGCACTCCTCGAGGAAGGCCGCGAGGGGCGCCGCGTCGCCGAAGGGCGCGAGGTCCAGCGCCGCGACGACGGCCGCGGGCGCGCCCGCGGCCCTCTTCGCGCGAAGCACGGCGTCGTCGCTCGCCGCGCCGTCCCAGGGCAGCGCGTCGCCGGCGGCGACGCAGAGGAGCATGTGCCCCAGGGCCTCGACGTCGTCGCGGCGGCAGGGCGGCGCGCCCTCGGCGTGGGCCGCGAGCCCGACGAAGCGCGGCGTGCCGCCGAGGGAACCGCCCGGCGTCGCGGCGCGGTGTCCCCCCGTCAGCGCGCTCACGTAGCGGCTCGCGAGCCCAAAGTCCACGAGCCGCGCCTCGTCCGCGCCGACGACGGCGCCGGCCTCGTGGCGGCCGAGCATGACGTTCTCCGGCTTCACGTCGACCTGGGCGGGAAACGGGTGCGACGTGCCCAACCTTTGGAGGCTCCTCTCTCGGTCGTTTTCCGCTCATTCTCGGACGGGCGATGATCTCTCGGAGCGCTCTCGACGCGTGGATGCTTTTTATGGAACACACACGCGCGGAACACTCATGTTGAATCACTCGTGTCCCGCCCCGCCGTCGACGTAGACGTAGCGCGCCGCGTGGAGCGCTTCGAGCGACGCCAAAACGTCGAGGCCGACGGCCGCGAGCGCTTTCGGGTCCAGGCGTTTGCCGGCCGCGGCGAGCCGCGCGACCTCGTCGCCGAGGGACGCGCCGAGGCGCTCGAGCACGAGGTAGCGGAGACCGTCGCTCTCGCCGTAGGCGACCTCGCGCCCGAACCGCCGCGGCGACCGGTTGAGCACGTTCGCGTAGAGCAGGTGCTCGGCGAAGAGCGTGTCCGCCGCGCGCTTCGCGTCGCCGTTGGCCTTCTTGCCCTTGGCGGCGGGCGGCGGCACCGGCGCGACCTTGATCACGAGCGACGTCGTCGACGCCGCGGCGGCGGCGGCGGCGCGGGACCCGGACCGCGCGGTCACGGCGACGCGCTCCACCTCGTAGACCTCCGCGCAGGCGCCGGCGCCCAGCAGCTTGCCGACGCGCCACTCCTTCTTGAGCGTGCGGCCCGTGAGGGAGGGCATGGCCATGCTCACTTGCAACGACGAAGCCGGCCGTAGCGAGAATGGCCGGCGGCTCGGACGCACACGCACGCGCGCGCAGTCCGAGCCCTACACCTTGCAAGAGAGGTAGAGAAAGAGACGGATGCACGCTTCCCGTCGTGAATACCTGCGCCGGCTGGGCTCCAGCAGTGGTCACAGAGGTGCTCTACGGCGCCAGCCCTCGGCCAGGCCCACGCCCACTCTGGGAGCCAGCCCTTCATCGACAGCCTCTCCGGCTCGTGAGCTCAAGGCAGCACCAGGTCCTGTGTCAGCCCAGTGCGCGTGATGATGCCCAAGCTCTTCGTGGCGCTCTGCGCGCTCGGCGCGAACGCGTTCCTGCCGAAGACGCCGCTGTCCGCGCGCCCGGCGCGCGCCCCGGCGCGCACGGCGCCCCGGGCGCTGCTCGACGTCTTCGTTGCGGGGCAGCTCGCCACGGCCCCGATCGACGCCTCGAAGCTCGACCTGCCGTCGACCGTCGTCATCTCGGCGAAGGAGAAGATCCAGCGCGAGGGCCTCTACGGCTCCTACGAGGTCGAGGTCGACAACGGTCCGCGCCCCGCGCCCGCGGGGCCGCGCCGGGGCGCCGGGGCGCCGCGCGAACGCCGGGCGGCCGCCGCGCGCGCCGCTCCGGACGAGAGGCGCGCCGGCCGTCGCGCGTCCGGGGACGCGCGCGCGCCCTCGACGCCCGCGCCTCCGCAGGCTTCAACCCGGCCGACGACGCGCGGTCGACGTTCAAGAGCAAGGCCGCGACCAAAAAGGGCAAGAACAAGTACCTCGGCATCTTCGTCGTCCTCCTCGTCGGCTCCTTCATCATCCCCATGGCCCAGTACTTCTGGTACGTGCGCGACACGCCCGACGGCCTCTTCAACGAGCCGCCGCCGCCGCCGCCGCCGCCGGCCCCGAAGAAGTTCTGGGAGCGCTAGGCGCCGGACGCCCCGGAGCGCCGCGGAGCGAAGCGCGGGTTGTGCTAACCTCGCGACTATCTCGACGCTTGGTCGCGCGGCCGTGCGAGGGGCGGGCGAGGGCGGAGTCCGTGTTCCGCGAGCGCGCGCGCGCGCCGCGTCGACGGAACGTCCTCCCACTGGCGCCCGGACGGCGCCACGGCTCCCGGCCCGGGGCGGCGCACTGCCCGGGCGAAACGCGTCGCGGCGCACCCTGGCCGACGTGCGCTGCCCCGTTCAACTAAGGTGTTGAAGTCGGTGTTTACGAATTGCAGGATTATGAGGTAGATTATGTCAGCCTTCCTCGCGCGCATGCTCGCGGAACGGGGCAGCCTCGAGGGTGCCGCGGCCCCGGGCGACGGTGCGGCGGGCGAGTCGGGCGTCGCCGTGGCGATCCTCGCGCGCATGGACGAGCGCGAGGACCCGGGCGGCCTCGAGGCTGCCCCCGCCGTCGAGGAAGACAAACCCGAGGCTTCGGACCGGGGCAGCCCCGAGGCTTCGTCGGACCTCGCCGTCGAGGCTCCGGACCGGGGCAGCCCCGAGGCTTCGTCGGACCTCGCCGTCGCGGCTCCGGACCGGGACGAACCCGAGGCTTCGTCGGACCGGGACAAACCCGAGGCGTCGCCGGACCGGGACGAACCCGAGGCGTCGCCGGGCTCTCCCGCCGTGGCGGCGACGCTGACGGGCCTCGTCGCCCGCTTTCGCGTCGGCGGCGGCGACGCGCGCGCGGCGCCGTGCGAGCCCGCGGCGGCCCGGGCCTATCCCCGGGGCTGCGCGCGCGTCGACGGCCGCGGCGGGGCGGCCGCGGCGGTCGTCGTCGTCGAAGAGGACGAGGACGACGGGGACGACGGGGACGAGGCCGAGGCGGAGGAGAGCGCGTCGTCGGACGAGGACATGGTCGATGGCGCGCTCTTCGCGTGCCGGCGGCTGCCCGGGCGCCTCGGCGCGCTCGTCGCCGCCTGTGTGCAAATCAAATCTTCAACCCGACTTCAATGTGAGCGTATGCGACAGTTTCGACGCAATCTCTTCGACTGTGCTTCGAGAACTTGCTGAGAGCAATCGATTCGTCCAAAAATCAGCCGAATCGACTTCGAATTGGCCGAGATAGAGAGTTCTGAAGTTTGGCCCCGACGTCCCAGCTCACTGGTTGATTTGCGCACAGGTCGCCGCGGCCGACGGCCGCTGCGCGGCGCGGCCGCCGGACTGGGTCTTCTTGGGCGGCGCCGGGCCGCCGCGGCCGCGGCGGTCCTTCGACCGCGCGGCGCGGCCGCCGCTGGCCGGGCCGCCGGAGCCGCGGCGCGCGCCGGCGGCCGCGGCGCGGCCGGCGCTCGCCCGGACCGCCGCGGGCGAGTTCTGGTGCCCGGCGGGCTGCGCGCGCGCCTTCTCGCACGCGCCGGCGGCCGTCATGCACGCGCGGGCCTGCCCGGGCCTGCCGCGGCGCGACGGCGCCGCGGCGGACCGGCGCGGCGCCGCGCGCGCCGGCGGCGAAGCGGCGGCGGCGCGCGGCCGCGGCCGCGGGCCGGGGCTACTTCTGCTGCGGCGTCTGCGTGCGCCCGGGCCTCGGCGGCTTCCACGCGGCCGCGTGCCGCGAGCTCGAGCGCGCGCGGCGCGGCGGGGGCGCCTACGCGGGGTCCGTGCGCGTGGCCCTGCGGCTCGCGGCGCCCGCGCGGCCGCCGCCGCCGCCGCCGCCGCCGCCCCGCGACGAGCCCGCGGCGTCGT